ATCGAAATCCAATCACTAGATCAATTTCCGAAATTAAAAAATATTAAATGGTTTTTAAGTAGTAACTCCGTCAATATTGATCATAGAGAGATGATCTTACCACCATTCGATTCGTCTTGATGAGGGGATTCCAACGAGCTATTAATCGCCTTTTTATAATCACTAGGTACCGAGAAATTCAGCAAAACGTTAAATAGCGCAGTAAACGTAAATCAAGAAATATAATAATGCCAATGCTTAACATTTTGTTGAATAACTCATCAGCCAGTGGTCATGAAAGGATAAAACTACTACCATTCAATTCGTCTCAGTGAGACGATTCTAACAAGCTATGGTACATCTTTTGTACGATTATTAGATGCCAAGTTATTTAATATATTCTTTATATAACTGTGATTATAAACAGTTCTTTTTAATATAAGATTTTTGAGGATAGGTGTGATAGTGACTATAGATAGATTGTGACTATATAGGATAGATTTTAATAATAAAGTGTTTTGAACATTCAACTGGTGTGACTATATAGTAGAATGTGACTATAACGGGAGTGACTATAGAGGGAGTTGACTGTATATGATCTTTGGAATTGTAAAAATCTTTAATTGTATTTTTAAAGTGCACTTGTTTTTTTTTTGCAAGACCTTTTGCACATTTAATTTGTGTAGTTTTGCTTGATTCTTTATGAAGTTTCAATTCACTTGGTCTACCTTTGCGATTTCTATTAATGCATTTTAATTGAAGTCCAAAAAGATGAACTTCAGAAACAGCAGTTCTCCTATCCGGTGTTATAATCTAATAAAGTATATATATATTAGAATACCTTCTTTCATGATTTTTTTTTAAATTTTTCTAATAATAAACATATAATAACTTACTTTGTGTAATTCAACAGAAGCATCAAATGGTGATTGAACTGAAAAAACTTGATATTGTAAATTATCTCCAAAACAAATTAAGTAATGAGGTTTTTCTTCTACATACTAATAAATAGAACATTGAATAGTACGGCTGTTATTAGCCTGACCCCAGGTAGTTTTAATATTATAATTATCAGGTATAGGAAAATAATTAGACGCTTCAGTATAATTCATAGCCGGTGGGTAGATACCTTTTTGAATGATAACATAAACAAATTTTCGGTCACCATAGTATATTATTTCAGGTGAAATAGGGTAATTTTCTTCTTCATAAGGTCTTTACTGATTAGAATTTGACATTTAGAAAGTAACAGTTTTTTTGACGTGTTAAAAAAAATCAACATAATATAAAAAATTGTATAACAAATCTACAAAAATGTGATAAGTGCGGTAATTAAAATTCAGTACGAATCTTAATATCATATTTCTTTATTGCTATAAGAGAAAAATTGAAACAAATATGTAAAAAATTTTGCATTATTAGTATTACTATAATGTCAGGTGATTTGACTATCATTATGATTGGTTTATAAAATTTGGGGTTATATCAAAAATTTAGAGTTAGAGTATAAATTAGCGTATATGTAGTAAATAATAATTTTAAAATTCAAAGTTAACGAACTCCACATTCAGTAATTCGATTTTATGATCTTTACGCGGTTGGATTCAGCTTATTGAGAGGATTCTAATGATATATATTTCGTATCTATAGCATCAATATTGACAGAGTTATTTACGTTTAAAATTTTATATTAAATTATAATTATAAAAATTACATGACTATGATGTAATTTTGACCATTTTGACTTTAATTTCGATTTTTGATCTTTCCAAGTTGAAATATTTCTATTTTTGGGTTTTGATTTCAACTTCATATATAGGACAAGTTGGCAATTTATAAATAAATTGTAATATTTTGTGTAAATCTTTATCAAGATTTACAGCTTTGTCATCAAGATTATACTTTTTTTCATTCTTTTTATAATTTTTTCTATTACTTTCATTGTCTGATGATCTTTTTTCAAATTTTTCAAATCCTGATTTTCTTTGACAAGTTCCAGATTTCTTCATTAGGTAGCTTTTTAGGTGGTCTCTTGAGTAGTCCCTTAGGTAATCTTAGATTTTCTTTGACAAATCCCAAATTTTCTTTACCAAGTAACCTCTCAGGTGATCTCTCAGATAGTCTCTCAAGTGATTCTTCAAATAATTTCAGATTTTCTTTAACAAGTAACAATTCTTCTTTATAAAGTCTCTTTTTACCTTTCTATATTGAGCCCAATGTTTAAGCTTTTGGTTCCTTTTATTATTTGGTAATCCATTACCTTCATAAATATAAATATATATATAGTTCTTTATTTTTCATGCAATATTAAGCTTGATATTTAGACTTCTAATTCTTCGTCAACTGAATATGAGTGCAAGATTAAAGCACCCTTTTCTTCAGTCATCAGCACTGTATTATTATTAGAATTTAAATTTATGCTGTTAATATTTATTTTCTTTATTTTTCTTAATTAAACCATTCATTGATGATATTAGAGCTTAATTTATTAATAAGTCTCTTTTTTTATCTTCACTATCATTATTTATATTATTGTTATTATCTTTATCAATGCTATTATCTTTATCATTCTTGACATTTGTATTTAAAAAGTTAATAATTAAATAAAAAAAATGGGTTATATTTTAATAAATTTTAATTTTATATCATTTAAAATTTTATCATTGGTAATGGTATCATCAGAACTTTCTATAAAATGAGAAAAATAATAATTGCTTTTTACTTTTTGTAAATAATGGTAAAAAAAAGAAGTAGACTTTACCTTCTTTCTTAGGATATAATTCATTACCATTATCTTTAAGATCATTAAAGATTTAAATTTTACATTTTAATTATATTATATAGTAATATTATAAAATAATATTAAACCTCAATATACCTGAACTTCTAACTTTTTTATTGTATAATGGTTTTTGTTCATTATCAATAAAATTATTTATGAAAAAAAAAGAAAAAAAGGATTTTACTTTTTGTTTTTTTTATAATAAAAGATAAAAATATAAAATAGACTTTACCCCCTCTGAAATGCTTTTTATTTGAAGTTTTTCTCATATTTATAATATCTTTTCTATAATATAATGTAAATTTGATTAATAACTTCGTTATAATGATATATGTGAAGGATGCTCATTTTGTATATTTATGTGTATTTTTTTTCTTTAAAAAAATATGGTAATAGTTTTTATTTTGATTAAATTTTTTGTTTTATAATATAGCTTGTAAATATTATAAGAAAGAAAACCCTTTATTTTAAAGAAAGAAATTTAGTTTATAAATTTAAAATAAAAAAAATTGAATTATATTAGATAAAAAAAAAATCCAATTATATTAGACGTTTTTGTCTTATGAACTGAAAGACCAAAAAATTGAATTACATCTTTAAATAATATCTAATTATGTTTTTTATGAACTGGGAGAAATAAAAAATCAAATTACATCAGATAAAAAAAAAGATCTAATTACATTGGTATTTAAACAATTTGCATACACTTTCAAATGTAATACAATTGTAAAGCGATTACATGTTTGTGTATATAGAATAGGATTGACATTTATTTATACATATGCATGTAATAAAGTATATGCAAATTGTTTAAATGCTGGTATTTTTATTTTTTTATTTTAAGTATACAGTCAGCCCTTGATATAACAAAGTAGGTATTTAGGCTGATCAGCCCTTCATTATGAGAAAATTCACTAATGCTATAATGAATTATCTGGTATAGCAGAAAAATTTGGTATAATGCGGTAAAATATAGAAAAATCAAATACATTTGTAAAATGTCAGATCACAGAGGCAAAGAAATTTCAAAGCATAAATCATCCATTTTTTGATAAATGAATTAAAATGGTAAAATTGCTTATTTGGGAAAAATTTCATGAAAACAACATCAAATTATCTTTTATATTAAAATTTATCTTGCAAAAATCTTCGTTATACTAAAAAACAAATTCGTTTTAAAAGAAATTCATTATAAAAAAGGTCATTTACATATGTGAAATCATAAATTTTTCTTCATTTAACGTTATAATGCATTTTATTAGTAAAATTTGGTGGAATGAATTTTTTTTCATATGACTAAATGCGTATCACACTAAAGATTCATTATATCAGGATCCCAAAATATATATGTAGAGGTAAGGTGCATAATTGCGTCATCAACATAGAGAAATTTTATGGATTAGGTATTGATTTGTGTATAACCTGAGGATTTTTTAGCCACAGTCAGGCTATTAAAATGTGTATTTTTAACAGGT